GCTCCGAGAGCTCCGATTTGATTGTATCTAAGATCTAGTGTGATGAGTGTCTAGGTGAAAAAGTGGAGATCGGTATGTGAAATAGACGAAGAGAGAATGAGGGTCACTGCGTTATCTTGTAGCGCATCAGCCAGATGTTGTGCTCCGAGAGCTCCGATTTGATTGTTTTCGAGATTCAGTGTGGTGAGCGTCTGTGAAAAAGTGCAGACGGGTATATGAGATAGACGAAGAGAGAATGAGGGTCACTGCGTTATTTTGTAGCGCATCAGCCAGATGTTGTGCTCCGAGAGCTCCGATTTGATTGTTTTCGAGATTCAGTGTGGTGAGCGTCTGTGAAAAAGTGCAGATGGGTATATGAGATGGATGAAGAGAGAATGAGGGTCACGGTATTATTTTGTAATGCATCAGCCAGATGTTGTGCTCCTTTGTCTCCAATTTGATTGTTCGAAAGATCCAGTCTGGTGAGGGTCTGTGAAAAAGTGGAGATGGGTATATGAGATAGATGAAGAGAGAATGAGGGTCACGGTATTATTTCGTAATGCATCAGCCGGATGTTGTGCTCCGAGAGCTCCGATTTGATTGTATCTAAGATCTAGTGTGATGAGTGTCTGTGCAAAAACGTGGAGATGGGTATATGAGATAGATGAAGAGAGAATGAGGGTTACGATGTTATTTCGTAATGAATCTGATTGAAATGGAAATAAAAAGAAATTATATCTCTTACCTTATTCTTTCGTAATGTATGGGCAAGTATTAAGACTCCCTGAGATGTGATTTTGTTGCCAGCTAAAACCAATTCTGAACATTGTCTCCTAATGATAATCTCACTGACTACAATGTCCATGTCTGAATCAGTTAAGTTCATTGAACTGAGATCCACTTTGGAGCGTTGCTTAAACAAATAGGCGAAACGGTCTTCAAGACGAGGATTGGGTAGTGCAGCTGGAAGCGTTTTTTTACATAATGAAACTGTTGAAATAGCTTCGAATTTCGTTTGACATGATGGAACGACTGATGAAAATGTTGCTGATGATGAAATTGCATTGAAAAAGTCATAAGATGGTTGAATTCCGTTCAGTTCAATAACATGGAGACCTCTTCCTTTGTTAACAGAATTCATTACAGTGAATTGGCAGGCAGGAGGAAGCAATACTTCACTCTCACCTTCATACATTGAATGTCGGTGAATATCTTTACCAGAATAACAATTGATGACGAACAAAGTTCTTTTACCAATTTTATTGAGAAAAAGTTTCTTTTCCAATTGATTAATATTCTTCATGCACGAAGAAAATCCCCACCAAACAATAGTTGTACCTGTACGATATTTGGCAGCTAAATCCATATTGATACCTCGATAAACAGTAACAACAGTCGAAGGTAGATGAGCAAGAACAGTCAAAATATGTCGTAGAAAAAGAAACCAAGGCTTTAATTGTTGTCTGTTTTCAGAACGAAGAGCTTTATTAAGAATATAAAATACAGATTTTTCTCTTGGTTGCCATTCCAATGAATATAGTCTAATCGAATTAGATTCATCCATAGTTAAACCATCTTCTGATTCACCATTATTTTCTTCAACTGTTTTAATCATATGTTTCACATTGGGTATGATGCTTTGTAATGGAGCAACAGCTTTATTCAGAGAGACAAGAGGTGTAGTTTCAAAGTCTTCAAGAGGTGGAAACAGTCCATCTGGTTCTTCGTCCACATCCAAGAATCGAAGCGCATGTTATGGTTCATTTATATCTCTAGAAGCCATGTGAACAAGTTAAGATCTGAAACAAATACAAGTCTTCACCTATCCAACACAAAGATGATCGTCATTTCACGCTGAGCCTTTCAAAACTTATGAAAGAAATGAAAAAATAAAAATTCCATAAGCGAAAAGTTTTTATTTATGCTTAGAACAGAGTATGTTTTACTCTATTCATCATAAAAGAAAAGTTTTCTGCATGCATGTTCTGCACAGCGTCATTAAACAAGAAGAATCTGTCGAACAATAGTGATTACAAATGAAGTTTTTTTTTGCTAAGTCAACAAAGAAAAGAAAAGCTTTTTGAAGGAAGGCATCTCTCCTTCTTACCAGTAACCGTGAAAGCATGTCAACAAATGCTTTTATGTGTGTCACCTGTACATACTTCTATTTTTAAACTAAACAGCAAATAGACTGTTCGTCGTTTGATTTCAAGCAGAAGAACTATTTGTTTATCGTGTATTTCAATATTTTAAATCGAGAAAAGAGAAATCCTTAGTTATCGCAACAAAACACTCTCTTTCACGACATGCTTTTCATTAACAATCATCAAGTTTCGTAGCGTCATTATAAAAACGGGATGAATGAACTTCATTTCATCTCATCCTTTGTCGAACTCCGGATATGCATCTGAGTGTTCGGAAATGAATTTTTGTTCTTAAAGATTTATGACGGCGGATGGGTGTGGGTGTAGGCGGATTTAAAGCACATCAACACTCACACGCACACACCCGCTTCACACCCAGTAGCCCATATCCACACCTACACCCATTCACGCATACCCACACCCGGGTGCCCTTCAAGGCTTTTCAAGTGTCACATTCAGTTGAATTCGTTATAATCGATCATTGGGTTTAAAAGGATGCCCAGACTAGGATTCAATCATCTGCGCTCTTAACAACCGCTCTGCTTTCACAATAATAAACAATTCTCATAAAAGCGTAGAATAATCTACCATTAAACAAAATATCATATACTCGTTTTCTTTAAATTCTCAGAGACTCAACTGTTCTTATTTTCATATACCGTTACTTCTCTTGAGCTTTCGATTCGTAGATCCTTGAAGAGTTTATTGAAAAGTGCATATAGGAAATGAGTTTATCATTATATGGTTTTTTTTACAGTGCATAATATTCTACATTGACATGGGTATAAGGTTTCTCTTTCTAGGATCAAATATTTTCTTCAAATAGAACTAAAATTATTTACTTGAATGTGAAACTTGCATAGCTTTAATCAAAAGAAAAAAATTCAAAACTTTTTAAGTGAATAACAGCCATTATTTACACAACTATATTCGAAAAGATTTATCTGGTATCTAACACTGTAATCATTATTACGATGATAGTGGAGCAAATTAAGAAGTGTTTCATGTATAATAACTCCAGCTCAATGCACTGTATTCAAATTATTTTCGGTAGATATATTTAGATAATGTCGATTCAAATTAACCTGGCATGTGCCATTTTAATTGAACACTGACAACCATACGAAATGTATGAAACACACATAAGTGAATTTTTACCACTCACATTAGTTTCGTTATATGTTGAACGGATATTGGCAAACAGAAACTCATTATTTTCAGTTTTTATTTAACCATTTGGCTACCGACATAAGAAAAAGAATAAAGCTCTTTATGACATCACTATAGCTATTTAATTTGATCCAATTTTACACACTTATATGAGATAACGCTAAATCTTCTGTATGATATGAAAATCTTTGAAACAGTTAGCAATAAACAGTTCGACACCGTATTCAGTACACTGGTGACGTGTGTCAGTTCGTTTCTTCGTTCGTCGTTCAGTATTGCTACAAACATAACATCTTTCTTGAAGAGTATGACTGCTCTCATTTGGAGAAATTAGACACGGAAAATGTCTGACTGTCAGTCACAATGGATGAGCATTCAATGGTCTATCAACCTGTGACTCATTGGGGCTGCACTTTACAATGAGCTCTCGAATAAGAAAAAAGAGAACAAAAGATAACCATATTTAAAACAAGCTGATTGTTCGCTATACACATTCTTTTTTAAGTCACGACTCTAGAACATACCATTATGAAATGATGGTGTCACAGACTTCAGATGTCTGATGCTTGTTTCTATGCAAGTAAATTAAAAGAATATGCACTATGATTGATTGCGTTAGTTTTAGACGCTGATAAAGTCCATGACGTTTATAAACGGCAGCGGTAGCCAAAGGGTTAAGGCATATTAATTGACATCATAATAAAAAAATGTATACCATGATTGATTGAATGTTTTTATAAATTAGAATTTCGCCATTCTTCTGCTGGTAAACAAGCATATTTTCTACCTCAATATTAATATATATTGTTTCAAAATTTTTGATTTAAACAATCTATTTGAAACCATTTGCATTGCTTTGTTAATAAATATCTTTTCGTTCGATGTAAATTAAACATGAATTCTAAGCATGATGTTGGACGATTTTTTACTGTTTTATAATATCGATCATTATTTTGAACAGTAATACGATTTCGCACTATTGGAGCAATCATAAACGAAGAAGATGATGAATGACAAACAACATTCATAAAAAGGTTAATGACTAAGAATTAACGTTATATTAGACAATTCGTATCACTAATCCAATATATTATCTTAAATTAGAGAAACCCATGCAAAAAAAGATAGAAAAAAAATCAGATTTTAATCTATTCTTACTTCTTGTCTGATTTTAATTCATATTTACTCTCTATTCCATTTTAATCATATGCACCGAAGATAGACGCTTTTCTCAAGATTCGAACAGAGAACCCTCATTTTTCCATGATTTTTTAGGATTCCCTGTGGTAATTAATCATGAAGCTGTCGGCAAGCTAAAGCTCGACAAAAATACTAAAATTGGAACTGGTATATAAATTGTTTTAGTTCAGATTGCACAATTACTTTATCAATTGATTATTTCGATTCCTTGAAAATAAAATCGATTTTAACCCTTTCTTTCCCAATAGCACCTAGATGTGCCACCTTTTAAAAAGCTTCGTTCTCTTGAAACATAAGACGTATAGAAACTAATTTTATATCAAATTAAGGCAACTCTATAACAGATTTTATATCAATAATCCGAGCATAACATTCTTCATAAATGCTTTATATTCTACTCATATAAATATACTATGTTATAGTGTATGCTATTGTCGTGCCATAAGACAGTGTTCGACCGTCATTGAGCTAACAAATTAGTAATGAACTATTCCTTTTGTGTCGAAACAGTCACCAAATATATTTGTGAACGAGTTAGAAAAAGAAAAAACAGCTGGAAAGAAACACGAAAAAGAATTAGCACTTATTGAAAGGAATATAAAGTTTGGCTTTGTTATATGGAAACTAATCATTTCCGATTATATCATCAATTGGAAGAACAGATCTTTCAACCTCTATTTACACAGTGCAATAAATGATGGTTTACGAAGTGAATGCAATTTTCGTATGATTACGATAGTAGTAGCATTGTATCCATTTGGTTGTAACTTTCATAAGTTTTTTCATACAATAAAATTTACTGAGCATTTAATACGTTAACTATATATGCACTTAACCGATGTGATTCAAACTTTAGGATGCATGTTAAAGAGTACTGTGATCGCAATGCTGGACGAATTTCAGTTTCAGATCTTAAACTTTAGTCATGGAAATGAAAGGGTTAATCGAGTTGAATCGGTTTTTATTCTTTCTAATTTTTTTTTTAAATATCGTGTTTTTCTTTCTCGGTCATAAACATTTACATATACTGTTTCCACAATAAATATAAAATTTATATGCTTTCGAAAGACAGTATGCCTTTTTTATCGGATAAATCAGGATATATATCACTATGGAATTATTTCATCTGTCAACACATAAAATAAATGAATCATGACGTTTTCTTGAAAATATTCTATTGCCACAATAATAAAAAGAAATATTTACTCTGGAAGAAAAACAATTTAAACAAAGAATAAGAAAATAAACATTAGTTTTTATTTTATAACAATAGAAAAAAAAGCGTTACTTTTAATTGACAACGCTAAGTGTATTGTATATTACTTTTCGCCTGCGTGTATGGTGTAAATATGTATATGTTAAATTTTACTTTCAGGTTAGCAAGTAAACGCTCTTTGTTTTTATTCTATTTACCTTCTATAAAGAAAAAACCAGGTTAATTTTTCTATGTTCTGAAGAATTTTAAAAGGCAACAAATTATTTGATCTGTAAAATGGATGAAAGTACCAGTAAAAAAGTATATAAATGATCAGTTTAAAGGTTGAATGATCAGTTAAGATATTGAATGATCAGTACTTAGATTACCAGT